TCTGCACTGCCAGGTGCAGTGATTTAAACTTATGACATATGCTTACTATAGATGTGCAGTAGGAAAAAACCAAATTGCATGTAGGCTATGACTACGGTTGCAAGTGTTATCACAAGACTTGTGACTCACAGCGACCTGACCCTATAATGGAGCAAAACTGCCCCGTCCAGTTTTCTAGGCTGCAGCCTTTATGAGGAGCTAGCCTGACCTTTCTTGCAGGAGGCCACTGGGTGGGCCCCCGCTGCGAACCTTTAGCCCAGCAGCAGGGCCCTTCATGATTGGGCCACGGGGGCTCCTGATGACCACTGCCACCCCGCACAAGTCAGGTGTGCAAGTGGGCAGGTAAAAAGGGGACACGGGAGGAAGAGGTAGATGATTGAGTCAAGATAACGGGTTTTTCTGATGACTACATGGTCTCTGTGCCCCTCATAACTTGTTTAACGATCCTAGTGCGTATACTCACACACTCAAATCTGTTCAAAGCTCTTCGAGAATTCTCTCCTTCATGCTGGTCATTCTAATCGTTTGAACAGACCCACATCTCTCCGTGGGGCTGGCTGCAGTAGAGTGGTCCTTTAGGCATGTACATGCCTGCTATGGATAGAATTAACCAGAGCCCTGGTAGTGCAGTGGGTGATGGGTTGGGCTGCCAAGCACAAGGCCAGCAGTTGGCAACCACCAGCCGCTGCTCAGGAGAAAGACGAGTGAGCCTGCCTACTGCCGTTCAGAGTTAGAGCCTCAGAACGCACAGGGGCAGCTCCACCCTGTCTCCTAGGCTCACTATGAGTTGGCATGTATTCCATAGCTGTGAGTGTGTTGATGGATTGAACTGTGTCCCCCAACCATGTGCTGTCAACCCAGACCTCTATGCCTGTGGTTAGCGTCTCATTTAGGACCGAGGGAGCGGTCTTTGTTGTGGTCGCGAGGCAGGATTCGTGGAGGGTCCCTCTCTGGTCAAGGTAGAAAAGAGATGGAAAAGGAGGGAGGTACCCCAGAGGAAGATCTCTCGGGGCAGAAACTCAAAAAGACAAGGCTCTTCCTTCAGCACTGGCAGGGGGAGAGAGGCCTCCCCGCCTTCTAGGCCCCTAAACTGTGCAACAAACAAACAAAAAGCTTTTGCTTGTTACAACTGCCCTGTGGTACCTGTTATGTGCGCACGCGG